CTTGGTTGAGACGATTCTTCATTATGATTAGGCTCTTCTTAATGTTTGACACTTTAACAAAGTCATAAAAGAATAAGTTGAAGACAGTATAGCAAACCATCATATATCGATATAAAAATCAATTTATACAATAGATCTCACTTGAATTCACCTTAGGCGAGATAGCAATGAAAGAAACGGATGCCTATGAATAAGAATCTCCATGATTTAGTGCGACTCCAAGGCACTTCAGGTATTTGTTGGAGTTGCAGAGGCATATGAACAAGAAATCATTTACAATAGCCAAAGAAAGGGCCAACGCTATGAACTTGAAAATACACACTGTTGTTATCAAATGAGCCAACAACGGCATATATTACTGCCAGAACTTAGAGGCGGCGACCAAACGGATCAAATCAAAAATGTCCAACAAAAACTAGTTATACAATATTATTAAGTTATGAGCATGACCTTGACCCCAAAAAAAAAAAAGTTATGAGCATGACGATTCAATGAGATTCCTTGGATTTAATCTGATTTTACAATGGCATTTTTCTCTTTCATTTTCTGTTCAGTTACCGGAGACGTAGTCCTGCATTGGTTTTGTGTGTTGCTCCAATCACGTTAGTTTTTTTATCAATTTCTTTTTTATGTCGAGTTAATCTCAAATTACACCACGAAAGGTCATTCAAATCTCAATTTACACCATGAAAGATCAAAAATCTTAATTTGTACCATCAAAGATAGAAATCAGTATCAATCAGTTTATCGATTAAAACTAAATTAATAAATTACACCTTTATCCCCTCATGCTTCATTTAATCACTTAGACCACTCACATTTAAGATATTACACCAACATTCCTTTAGAATTCAAATATGACTAAAAATATTCTCCCAATTGGGCATTTAAATAATTTTGTTTAAGCGATGTACTGCATTGAATATAAAGAACATTATATAAATACCTGCATTATATTGGACATTCAAATGGTAAGTTTAATTTTGAACTTTAAAATATAGCGAGTTTACAAAATAAATGGTAATATGAAAATTATAATTTTTTATTAGGATGAAATCATATTTTTTTAATGGTTATATTAATAAATATCAATGACAAAGGGTTATGTGTTTACACATGTACAAACGTTAGGAGGTGTATAAGTAATATTCTAAATATGAGGAGGTTCAAATGATTAAGTGACAAGTATAAATGAATCTATGTATACTTTATCCATTTAGTTTTAAACGGCGAATTAACGACCGTTAGTTTTAGGTGCGCATTGATACAAATATAAATTGAAATTTTTGATTTTTGAGGGTGGAAATTGAAATTCAAACAATATTTTAGAATACAATTTACGGTTAACCGTTTTATGTTTAAATTTAACATAATATCATAGCAGTTGATTCTTCACCGTTTCATTCTTCTCCATATTCCGCTCCACCGACGATTGGGCAATTCTTTCTAGCAATGATGCTAGTATGTCTTTAATCTATTCCTTAAAACAAGTCTCGTCATCTTTAGCAGACTAAGGCATAAAATCCTCCATAACATTTGATGGAGTTTTGTTCCATGGGTTTTCTGGATCAATTCCGAATCCAAGTTTCATATTATGAAGAGCTGAGTTATTGTCAACTTTGCCTCGGCCAGTTTCTCAGCAATTTGGGCTTTGTCGTCCGTTTCCTATTATAGGTCTCCAGTAACTACTATATTATTGTTCTCTGGGTGTTGTGTTCTCAATAGCTTCACCCATTTCAGAAGAAGTTGGTATCAACTTCATTCAAGTCAGCAATTTCAGAATGGCTGTTATCAGCTTCACTCATTTCAACTCGGGGGAGTTTATCCAGACAGACCTCAACAACAAATTCTACATGATAAATCATTTAGTGCAATCTCAATTGCTGCGGTCATGGCAACTTCAATAGAGACGTCATTCTGGCAGCCAGTTCATTGGTCAAGTTCGTCACTTCATATCTATAATTTTGTATCCAACTTGAAGGGAGTGTTGAATATAAAGATATATCTCAATATTTATGGGATATTATGTGATAATTAGTCAATCAGATTTAGTAGAATAATTTAATTTTTGATTTATGTCAATCCCTAAAATTAAGGAATATGATTATGTTTGTTACTCATATATGTATCCCTTGTGTATTAATCATCAAGAATAACAGAGATGTAATCCTGTGTGGGTTTTGTGTTTCATAGACGTTAATTCCTTGGTGTTTGTTTTTTGTCAATTTCTTTTTTATGTTTAAATTGTAGACGTTAATTCCTTGGTGTTTGTTTTTAATCAATTTCTTTTTTATGTTTAAATTAAACACAGTTTGTCCCCTTAAAAATAAAAATAAAAAGGGTAAATTGCACCAATGGTCTTTGAAATTTGCCACTTGTTACACTTTTGCCCATAAACTTCTAATTTCGTCCTCAATATTCACACATTGACTCATTTTAGTTCTTACCTCTAACTTTCATCCAAAAAACTAACGAAAAATGTCATGTGCCAAGCACATGAAGGTATTAAGGGACATTTTGTTCATTATACTCCAAAACATTGGGCATACATGTAAAAATAAAATAGTCTCACAAAAAAAATAAAAAAATATTGCCCTTTCTCTCTTCAATCCCATCTCTCTCTCTCTCTCTCTCTCTCTCTCTCTCTCTCTCTCTCTCTCGCCAGCAACCACCTTATCTCTCTCTCTGCGCAAGGCTTCGCCCCTGGAATCGGGTCACTGTTGGAATCGATCGCCACCGCTGGAATCCATCTCCTGTCTTTCTCTTCTCTTCTCTCTCTTTGCCCTCTTACATTCTCAGCATCTAACACACATACAATATGCACCATAACCAAAACAAACATTACAAAACTCATACGCCTAACACCACCTGAGCAAGCTCCCCCTCCCAACTGTTCATCATTCCACCACTAAAAATCTCTTTGACTTTGGGGGGTAGAGATGTAATAACCAAATAGAGAAAAAATTGTTGATGATGCACAAAATTATATTGTGCAAAATCAACAGTCAAAGTGTATGTAAGGGTATAATTAATGAACAATAAATCAAGCAATCAATGGCAAAACAATAAATATGGTATCGACACAAAAATTTATAGTGGTTCGGTTCGGATAACCTACTCTACTCTCGAGAACGACAATGGTGGTCGGAGATCATTATTGATAAATAATGTAATTGGGAGAGTACACTTTAAGAAAATTACAATGGTGAGAAGAGAGAAGTAATGGGTGTAGGGAGGTGTAATGTGTGTAGAAATCTCAAAGTGTAGAGGCATCAAGGTCATACCCTCTATGTGGAGAGGGCTTACATTATATAGGTATGGTAAGACGGTGAAGTGAGGGAGAGAGTTTCTACTATTTTGGTAAGTATAATTAAAGTAGGATTAGATCTCTGTACATATCCCCATATTCTCTCCCTCGTGCTCCTATTCCGTCGGGAGGAGGATCCTGAGATAGGTCGAACTTGAGTCGGAGTGGCAAGGTGAGGAGGGTGAAGGACAGACTGGAGGGCCAACCCATAGGCGGCACTCCTTGGGTGTCTCCTTTGGGCGATGACCCCCTTGGGTGTCTCTTTTGGGCTTTGGTGACTTGGGCTCCTCTTGGTGCTGGTGTCTTGGGCCTCATTAATCCATTGGGCCTAGCCCAGTTGATTTCGAGTTCATCAACTGTGTTGGGTTTAGAGATGGAGATATAGTGACGAGAGAGAGTGCGAGAGAGGGAGAGAGGGATGTCTTTCTGTGTTAGGACGTGAATGATTTCTGAGGGAGAGAGAAGAGAAAAAAAAAAGGAAGGAGAAGCATGAAAGGAAAGATAAATAGTTATAAAATATGAAAAATGTCCNCGTGAATGATTTCTGAGGGAGAGAGAAGAGAAAAAAAAAAAGGAAGGAGAAGCATGAAAGGAAAGATAAATAGTTATAAAATATCAAAAATGTGCCTTATTACCCTCATGCATTTGGCACATAATATTTTCCATTAATTTTTTAGACGGAAGTTAGAGGTAAAGACCAAAATAGGTCAATGTGTGAACATTGAAGATAAAATTGACGAAATTAGAAGTTTAAGAACGAAAGTGCAACAAATGGTCAACCTCAGAAACCATTGATACAATTTACTCANGAGGTAAAGACCAAAATAGGTCAATGTGTGAACATTGAAGATAAAATTGACGAAATTAGAATTTTAAGAACGAAAGTGCAACAATGGTCAACCTCAGAAACCATTGATACAATTTACTCAAAAAAAAATTAAGCTCTTATCCCATCCCACTCGCTAATTGATAAGTGTTTAGATTATATTTAATTTAACTCATTTGAATTTTCTACCTTTAACCAACTTAACTTTAATATTTGAATCTCGCGTTCAATTGAGTAACGTGTTTTGATGAGGAATGTCTCGCTCCACAAATTGATTTTGGTGTTCCCATTGTATTGTAGATGATCATTCATATTTGTCAGCTGGTTCATATTTTTTTTTTTTTTAAGATAATAGGTTCATATTTCGGCTACTAGTTTTACTAACTAGAGTTCAAATAGTAATCTGTTAAATTAGTTGATATTTGACTGAGTTGGCCAAGGCCTTTGTCCCCATGGCTATTCAAAATTGTACTAATTTTGTGTGTTGAAAGTCAATATGAGAGACAAGTTTCACAAGGTCAATGTAGGACCTGTTAAATATATATATATATAGGAATGTTAAGAAGACCCTGAACAAGAAATAGTCTAATATCCGTCAGATTTTCAAACGTTGAATAGCAAGACCTATTCAGCCTTTGATTTTTATGTCAATTTCATGCTATATATATAGCATTGCCACCATTTAAGAACTCCAACCCTAATCAGTTCTTTTCAAAGCCCAAGTTACTCAATACTCACCGCCACAAGAACCCAAGAAGAGATCATCCCCAAAACCCTTCTAAATCTGAAGTTCTAAACCATTCAACACCCAAGTTTTTCACAATTGTAGTTGCAATAACAAGAAGTGAGATCATTGTAGCAGTGGACATGGCAACCCTTCAAGCTTCAAGTTTTTTGTGTGCTTCTGGTTCTATTTCCTCCGGCCAGAACCAAAGAAGGAGAATTGCAGCCCCTACCAATCTGCCAAAACTCCGGACAAGTACTCTCTCTCTGCCAAACCTACCAACTATCAGAGGTTTGGTGGAGGAACTGGACTTGAAAAGTGGTAATTACACTACTACCACCACGACTAAAATTGAAAAACACTCGAATTCGCCTAAGATTAGGCCTCAAGCCAATGATTCTGATCCCATCGTGATTGCAAAGCTATATGCAATAATGGAGGCTGTTGCAGATAGAGTAGAGATACACAAGAACATTGGAGAGCAAAGAAACAATTGGAACAGCCTGCTTTTAACATCCATCAATGCAATCACTCTTGCCGCTGCAATCATGACTGGAATTGCAGCTACAAGAGCTCTCGGTGCTCCTATAATGGCAGTCAAGCTCGCTTCTACTATAATGTATTTGTCAGCAACAGGGATCCTATGGATTATGAACAAAATTCAACCATCCCAACTTGTTGAAGAACAACAAAACGCTGCAAGGTTGTTTAAGCAGCTTCATGGACAAATTCAAACACTTGTAACAATTGGTAGTCCTACGGGCAGTGATGTGAAGGAAGCAATGGAGAAAGTTGTGGCTCTTGACAGGGCCTACCCTCTTCCTCTAATTGGCGTGATGCTCGAAAAATTCCCATCTACAGTGGAGCCAGCAGTATGGTGGCCTAAACAACTAGGACAAAAAATGAAAGAGAATAGTGGGAAAATGGATTGGAATGGTTGGAATGGAAAGTTGGAAGATGAAATGAGAGAGCTAATGGGGATAGTGGAGAGGAAGGACAAAGCAAACTACTTGAAAGTGGGCGAAAAATTAGTGAAACTTAACAAAAAACTGGCCTTAACTGGTCCAATACTAACAGGTCTAGCAGCAGTTGGGTCTGCTTTTACAGGATCTTCTTCACTTGGTGCTTGGGCCGCGGTTCTTGGTGTCGTTGGTGGCGCTTTGGCAAGTATAGTGAACACATTCGAGCATGGCGGGCAAGTTGGGATGGTTTTCGAGATGTACAGGAGCAATGCTGGTTTCTTTAGTCTCATGGAGGAGTCCATAGAGTCAAATTTGAATGAAAGTGATGTGAGTAGGAGAGAGAATGGGGAATTGTTTGAAATGAAGGTGGCTTTACAGTTGGGAAGGAGCCTCTCAGAGCTAAGGGACCTTGCAAGTTCATCATCAAGAAAAGGAGATGAAAAATCGGCAAGCAAGATTTTCTGAAATTTTGTGCTCAAAGTATATATATGGTTATATATACATGTAGCTATAACTTCAATGTGCTAAAAAACCTGTCTATAAATTGTTAATCGATTCATTGATGCATTCAATGTAATTTTGGAGCATTTGGACATCTTATGGAATGTTTCCATTAAAACAGTGACCTCATACGTATAGCTAATCGGGCCATTTCTACGCCACGGACAATGCCACTGCTTTGTGCTTTCGTCATTACAAATTTGAAACTTTATAATAGCTTTAGCCACCCAAATAAAATGAATCCATTGAATCCAAANTAGCTAATCGGGCCATTTCTACGCCACGGACAATGCCACTGCTTTGTGCTTTCGTCGTTACAAATTTGAAACTTTATAATAGCTTTAGCCACCCAAATAAAATGAATCCATTGAATCCAAATGGACCACTTGGACACACTAATGTTTAGAGAAATTGCATCATCTATCAGAAAAGCCCAAAATTAACCTTGAACAAATGTTATGGAGTACATAGTAGTCACAAAAAGATGCAATTAAGCAGAACACAACTAACTACTTATGCAAAAGCATTCTCATGGTGAAATCAATATCAATGAAAACTTAAGCATCCGAAAGGTATGTAGTAGTCAATTGAGGGATTAACCCCTCTAGTTATGCATCTTCAGGAGAGGGAACGACAAATANCACAAAAAGATGCAATTAAGCAGAACACAACTAACTACTTATGCAAAAGCATTCTCGTAGTGAAATCAATATCAATGAAAACTTAAGCATCCGAAAGGTATGTTGTAGTCAATTGAGGGATTAACCCCTCTAGTTTTGCATCTTAAGGAGAGGGAACGACAAATAANAAGCATCCGAAAGGTATGTAGTAGTCAATTGAGGGATTAACCCCTCTAGTTATGCATCTTCAGGAGAGGGAACGACAAATAAAAAAAAACTAAAAAGGGTGGTTAGATTAATCGGTTCCATCCACTTTTGTAGAGGAACTCTCTCATCTAACCTACGACATTAGTTTGATAAGGAAAATTTGATAAAAGTTTTGATGGAGACGTCATTGTTTTTTTGGATTCTACAAGTGACAATTGGTCTGTAATTTCTGTTACCTTTCTTCTTTCTACTTCCAAACATGGATATGCTTGAATCTGGAAATATATATACATACTTTTTAAGCTGACAGATGCCTCAAGAGAAATGCTTTTAGCTTTTTACTTTCTTTTAATAGCCGTTAATAATGGATCTAGCTCTAATGAACAATATTATGAAAGGCTTTCAAAAGGCAAAAGCATTGTTGAACAAAATGATGATGGACCAGGTTGCTTAATGTAATAGCATAGGAAAACACTATTCATATTAAAATAATATTTACTAAAAAACATTTTTACTACGAGCAATCTATTATTAAATTAGATTATCAATGGATCCCAACACTTAATTATCACTTGGTCTCAACAACACTATCAACCCAATAGTTGTAATACATTAAGTTCCTAAATTATATCTCAATAACATTTGTATTTTATTATATAAGTTGTCATACTTTCTATCTTCGTAAGTCCTGTAAATTATGTTTTTATAAGACAAGAAGTTGCCAAACTCATTCAAAAAATACAATTTTATAAATATTTTAATATAAATAACATTGTTGTCGTAGATATAATAAGAATTGCATGGCCATGATCATTGAGAATGGGTAGATCAGAAAAAGGAANGAAGTTGCCAAACTCATTCAAAAGATATAATAAGAATTGCATGGCCATGATCATTGAGAATGTTTAGATCAGAAAAGGGCAGCAAATATGATCAAACTGCCATTATAGCTCATGCGTGGAGGTCTGAGCTAAGCACATGTAGGCATGTATGGTTGGTCACCTCCCCCACTCTCTCACTTAACCTTAAATCATCTCTCTCTCCCACCCCCACCCTCCCTCTTTTTATATAATGGGTAGGGGGGTAAAAGAGATCCAATAAATTTTTATTAGTGGAATTACAAGGTATTTGATTGCATCCGTTATTTTTTTAAAAAATAAATTTACTTAAGCTAATATAACGGTCAACTATCAAATCTCAATATGAATTCTAAAATTCAAGCCTTCAACCTCAAGATAAAAAATTTGGTCATTACTCTATTGGAGCACCCCACTCGGTGGTCCAAACCCTCCTCCCCCACACTCATCAATCTCTGTGTGGTAAACATAATTCTTCACTTGCAGGCCAACATTAGGAAATCAATCAATGATTTAATATTACTCCAATGCACTTTATGAGTTAGCTAGGTAGTGGATGAAGTTGAAAAGTCGTAGTAAGGTGTCATCTATTACAGATAACCAAAAAGGAAAGGGGCTGCATTTAATAACTTGAAAATACTACATTGTAGTTATTAAAATGAACTAACAAGGCCACAACTGCCACAGAACTTAGGGGTAGTAACCAAACGGATCAAACCAAAAATTTTCACCTAAAAGCTTCTTTGCCAATGTTAATTCATCGTGGTGACATCTCAAATTAGATTACGAGTTTTATTCTGTTTTATTTTCCATTTTTTTTCATGACAAAAAGTGTGCAATAACATATAATATTACAACTTGTTAGGTTTGACAATTCGTCCCTGAAATTTGCTTAGTCCATTTCAAATCGATTCATACTCTCTAATTTCTTGATAATTTTGTGTTGAATTCATAGATCATATCTAGAATTATGGGCCGAACTAATGTCTTAGTTAAAATGATAGATTATGATACACCGTACTAAAAATTACAATTTTCTAAAGTCAAGTTATAACTTTTTTAGATGTAAAATAATAATTTGCAAAGGATATGATTGATTATAAATATGTTAAGATCGATCATGAAAATTATAAATTTTAAAAGTTAAATTATAACTTTTGAAGGTCAAGTTATAATTCATAAAATAAAAGTTGTAACTGTTTAAAGAAATTCATAATTTCATTGATAGCAAAAAAAAAATTATATTCATGATCTCATTATCAAAAGCAGTTGCAATTTTACCTTTAAAATATCTAACTTTATCATTAAAAATAATAACTTTTAGTACCGTATCAAAAAAATTTTAATAGAATTACTCTAACAATTACTAGTAGGTTGTTAATCGAGCCAAATTTTATGAACTCAAGTCGAATTTGTTGAATNATCGAGCCAAATTTTATGAATTCAAGTCGAATTTGTTGAATTCGTTTTCTTAAACGAATTTAAAAATTTATTCGAGCTCTAATTGAGCCTTCTCCGAGTAGCTCAACTCAATTACTATTACTAGCTCTACTTGGTGGTTACAATTTATAACTTAAATCTGAAGTTTTAAGAAGTGGAGGGGGTTGACTACAAATAAAGGTTGTTGAAGACCCCAAAAACGAATTTAGAAAATCTTTCAAAGTAAAGAGAGGGGCATGCACATCCTTATTCGCGATGAAAACGGAGTGTGCCCGTTCCTCTTCCTCTTCTTCTTCTCTCTCTAGTCTCTCTGCTCCCTCTCTGGACACCCATCACCAAACCCCCCCCTAACCTTAAGCCTCTCACTGATTCCCCACTTCATATCCTACGTTAATAACCTACACACCTCTCATTACAACCCCTTAAGCCTTGATTGAATTCTCACTTTCGATTCTGATCCGTCAAAATGATTCATCTTCTGTTCACTCTCATATTCGCCGAGATAGCTCTGATCGTGACCTTCGTGTTCAAGACCCCTTTGAGGAAGCTGGTGATAATGGGTCTCGACCGTATCAAGCGGGGTCAAGGCCCAATCATAGCCAAGGCTGTCGGCGGTACAGTTTTTGTGGTCATGATGTCCAGTGTTTATACTGTGATGAAGATCCAGAAGCGTTGGATCGATGATGGTGATGTTAATCCCACGGATCAGGTTCTCATGGCAAAACACCTCCTCGAAGCCTCTCTCATGGGTAAAATTTCTCTTTTTGATACTCATCCGTCTGTAAGTGGTTTGAATAACTACTGATTACTTGTTTCAAACTTTAAACAATTCAAATTATAAAATTTTGAGTCCTTTAGTTATAATTCCCATTGAACGCAATCGAATTTAGGAAATTGGAGTTTATTGGGGAGTGATGGATCTAAATTCGTAATTTTGTTCCTTTTGGATTTCAGCTGTCAATAGTATTGTTTATATTCTTCTTTCTCCCCTTGAAAGATTAATTTTGCATTGTAACTTCTGTGGTGATTTTCATTACTCATTTAACTCTACTGTTTTTGTGCAATCACTTTTATTGCAATCTTGGGTGGGTGAGGTAAGTGGTATATGCTGTTTTGATCAGCTCTTAAGAGTTAAGACTTTGATGAATTGTGACAAAAGAGTATTCTTTTGGGAGATTTTGTATGGTCTTGAAAATAACTATATTAGTTGGTTTATTCAGTGTGTGGTTAGTGATGGGCATGGTGTTGCTGGATCTCTCTGGTAGAACATTTGTATTAGATTTCCACAATGCACTTGCTTAAATCTCCCTGCTCTGTATATGATGATATCTATAAATTACTTATGTAGTTATGTGTGATCTCTCCCTAATAAATGGGGGTTGGTTTACTGTCTTCAGATTGCATTAGATGGCTAGATGCATATGCTCCATGGTTCTTATGCCAATATGTGGGCCTTTGGTCCAATTGTATTCCTTACCTTGTGAAGACTTTGCCTTGACGTCAACGGTTCAACTCTCTCACCCCTCTCCCTAAAAAAAAATTAAAAAAATATATATATATATGCTCACAATAGTAAAAATACAACACGTTGCCATTGTATCTTAACTCTTTAGGGTTTCAGTTAGAAGAAAGTTAATTTTTGGTGTAAAATAGGAAAATTGTTGTTGGTAAGGTATGCATATGGATTGGGAGATTTTTTTTACTTTCATATGGAAGTAACCATAGTTCAAAGTATCGATCAATACCAATACGAGTTGGCCGAGTCGAATACGATTCGGCACCTATCAAGATGATACTATTATACGGTACGTATAAACTCAAAGTCTCTCACGATTCCGCCAAGTTGTGTGGGTGTATCTGAGTAAATCTCGAGTCGCCAAGTTGTCATCACCATCATTGAATTGGCCGATATGGTTCTGCGATTCCACAATACAACTTGAATCTCTTTCTTTTACGTCGTATCACCCGATAGTGCAACACGACGTGCCAACACCGCGACTGATGTATCTTAGAGCTCTCTGAATCGATAGCCAATACCACGACCTTGAACCATGGAAGTAACAATATGATGCCAAATGAATAATGTGGCGACATTAAGCTTATTAGTTGGGAACTGACCTCCTAACATTATTCAAAGAGCTTTGCATGGTGAACACAAATGTAGTTTGAGTTTATAGAATTATTTTCAGGGTCCTAACTTTACTGAACTTTATGATGCCTAAATAGTTTAAGCTTTCAGACCATATCAATACTTATTGAAGGATCCGCATATTTGTATTTGAGGGCAATGAATTGTTGGTTTGGCTGTGGAGGGATCTGTACTTTACACTCTTTGTGCTATATGATNCCTAAATAGTTTAAGCTTTCAGACCATATCAATACTTATTGAAGGATCCGCATATTAGTATTTGAGGGCAATGAATTGTTGGTTTGGCTGTGGAGGGATCTGTACTTTACACTCTTTGTGCTATATGATCTTGTTCAATTGTCCAAGCAGTCAAGCACCTCTTTTTATGAAGTTACATAGCTGTCGATTGAGCATTTGCAGCCATCTTGTCAATGCTCTTAAATTGTCACATTATTGTCCTCTTTCTTAACTCTTTTTATGGATGCCTCTATTTATAGCTGTAAGCAACCTTATTACTGCTACCTTATGTGATCTGAAGAATATTCTGTTGTATTTTGACGCAATTTTCCCATTTCCTCATTTGACTGTACAATGAATTGAAGTTCTCCTAATGCTAGCTTCCTTCCATAAATTTTCATCATTCTGTCCATGCGTTTGAACATTGTGTAGAGATGCTGATGTACTGTAGTAACGGTTGAGCTCGTCCATATTTCTGTGTATTCAGAAACTGTGTTTTTGTTGTACATGGACTCCTTTTTAAGCATGCATTCATTCTTTCCCATTCTTTTAACAATACAAAATATATAATTTTCTGCTGGGAGGGGTGCTTATGGGTCTTCTGCATAATCACATTGAATACTGTATAACATCTTTATGTCATTTCAACTGTGAGAAATTGTTATTCTACATCAAAATTGGTCATTTTTTCTAAATTTAGATTTTCTCCAATTTGTCAAGATAACAATGATCGGAGAAGATAGTGTTTGATGATCAAAGCATATGGTTCTTAAATAAGTTGTGAGATGGGCTTTATGAACTATCTTTTTGTGGTTAACTTTTTGTTTATGTATACAATTCATTTTGAGTACAACATTTGACAATTATCTTCAGGCTCTTGGATGAAAATACCATAAACTTAGAATTGACATGGATGGGCAATATTGCTATTTCTTTATTTGCTTAATGTTAGGCCACACACAGTATTCTTTTGTGACATTATAGTCCGGCAGTAATTCAAGTGCGTTGTTATGTTGGGTTGAGTTTGTAATTCAAGTGCATGAATTTAATGTTCCAAGGGCAGGGGCTTTGTCTAAAAGGATGGTTATGAGTTGTGATATTCGTAAAGCAGAAACTATTGCAGCGAAAATTGCGATCCAATTCGCAAGGCAGCAAGAGTTAGTAGAAGTCATACTGGAAGGGGATTCTACAGGTGTTATGCAATCTATTAGGAGTGGTGATGGGGATTCTGATCCTCTCGAAGCCATCTTACAAGATATTGAGTATAGCGAGAAGTTTTCGCTATTTTGAAGTGTCCGGAGTTTGCTGCAATGGGAATAAAGTAGCTCATGAGTTAGCTCGTTTTCTTATACCATTAACTAGTAGCATTGTATGGTTGGAGCAGGCACCAGACTTTGTTATGCCTCTCCTTTTTTCTGACATTCCTTAGTAATATATTCCTATCGTTGAATCTCAAAAACAATTAGTTGAAATTTCTTGTTGCTGGTCATCTGTGAGTACATCTTGAGTTCTTTTCGAGTCACAGGGCTAAGTTGGACAGTGAAGAGGAGCTGTGTTGCATAAAACCTCTTACGCACTATTTTAACAAATCCAATTCTCAGTATCCTCATTTCTCTTTTACCTCTCTTCACTCAAGTTGGGGTCGTTTTATGCAGGATTCTCTCTATTCCTTGCACTAATGATAGACCGATTACACCACTATATCAGAGAACTTCGTTTACGAAGGAAGAGCATGGAAGCTGTAAAGAAACAAAACCGAGTTTTTGAGGATGGGAAAGCTGGAGTTTCAGAGGAATTTAAAGCCTTGGAGGAAGAGATGGGCGCATTAAAGGCAAAAGTTAAGCATCTGGAGGAAGACCTTGAGGCAAAGACAAAAGAGGCAGGCACTGCAGAAGCCAACGCAGTTGCCCTGAAAAAGCAATCTGAAGGATTTCTTCTTGAGTATGATCGTCTGCTTGAGGAAAACCAAAACCTTCGGAACCAGTTGCAATCCTTGGATCGGACATTGTCGCATTCTGGTAGCAAGAAGAATATGTAGGAACCACCAGCTATTCGTCACTTTTCATTGGATTTGTTTATGGGTCTTGTTGTGATGAATTTGTTGATTACAACTTATAAGGTCAAGAGAAAATGCTACAAAATGACAGAAAACGGGTTAGAAGTGGAAATTAGCATTTACATTATTCCTTTGTGTATTTGATTTAAGAGCTAAGTTGTGGAGTAGAACCCATTTTTGTCCAGACAAATTGTGATTAGATAATATGGAAATCTATCCTGCTGACAATGATTTGGAGCCATTGATTTCCTTGTATTTTTTTTGGTAACTTTTTGTCGAGTAAAGGGCTGCCGACATATTTGTTGATTCCTATTTGATGATGCTAAGACCAGAAGTTACTTTGGTTGCAGAAGATAATGTCATTGCAGTGGCTTTTCGGCAGTTGGGAATTTTTGAATAACACATGCATCTGATGAGTAACTTACCATATTTTTGTTTTGTTTTATTTTGCAAGAAAGGGATTGTGATGTTGCATTTAACCTTTATGGTTTGTCTGATAGATCACAACCATTGGCAATGAATGGTAGTCTGAAACTTAGGCGCAATAATAAAGGTTGTTTTACTGTGTGACATGGGTTTCATTGATTTGAGTAACCTCACAGTCATCACCAGAAAGCACGTAAGTTAAATATCACACCATGTAAATGTTGGAAACCACATAGACATCACCCGCAAAAGGTAAACTCTTCTCTCTAGTGGCCCGAATTTAATAACAAAACTGAACAAAGACAAGGGGTCTGAGTGGATGCCTTAATGTGCTTTGTCTGATGAGTTTTCATTGCTTGCTTTGTTTAAGCAGCTTAGACACTTCAAAATTTGTCTCCATATGATCGCATAGGAACATAAAAAATAATTTCAAGTTTGTCTCCCTTGATCAGTTGACAATACGAGTTAAAAAAGTCATAAAAATAGGGTTGTTGAGTAAGCCATCAAATTTAGCACACGACCTTGAGTAGTAACAGGGACGAAACGTAAATTCAAACGTTTTAAGTTTAAATTTTAGTAACTTTGTGGGTCAGGTCATGAGGAATTTATTCCTCATGAATATCCTATTCCTGGTGTGAGTGATCTATCTTTAATTGAATCAAGGAGGTGATTAGTTGAAATGCACTTAAACTGCCCTGAACACCCTAACCGTTAAACTTAAAAAAAAAAAAAAAAAAAGCGCCATCAAATCTTACCTGATGTATCCTGGCACCCAATAGATCATGAAGGTGTTTGGGGGTGGGGGGGGTGAATGTGTTCTATATGTTTGTGCTGCAGCTTAAATAGAAAGATTGTATTCTGCTATGTTTCATTGTAATGTGGTTTTCCCAGATAATTGCGTCTCCTAATTCTCTCTCTATTTTTTATTGATGATGCCCTCGGAATTAGGTTCATAACACGTAACAATTTAACTGATTGTGCTTCACTGAGAAAAGTATACTTTCCGCCGGTCCATTTTTTTAATTTCTAATGATGCCATCAGAGCGGAGGTTCATTTCACACAAGGAGAGTCTTCACAGAAAACCCCGACGTGTTGGTTTAGTAGATAAACAAGGAGTAAATCATAAATCCACACATCCTTGTCTGAGTCTCCTTTGTTGTTTAAAACTTAGGCTTAATCGATACACATGGTTTACAAGTGAGAACGTGAAAAAGACATGTTTGGAACGATCCTTTTATTAAAGAATATATCACAAAACTATTTTCTTTGAAATGAAGAAACTTATAATCATTTACAGTTAAAGACTTCCCAAGAGTAGAGAGAATTAGGCCTGATATACCACCTCCATTCTTGCTGACTTCAAGCTATTCTTCCATTGCTGAAAAATACAAGACTAGGATCATTTTTTAACAGAAGTGTCTCACTGTTGAATGCTGTAAAAACCATCAAACACAGGAATATTAATGCTGAGAGCCCGGATAGGAAGAGCATTAGTCCAGGTGCTATGATGCCTTTCACCTGCGATGCATATTCTGCTGAGGCTAAAGCGAGGAAGGTCAGTGGGAACGAATAAGCCCACCATGCAACATTAAATTGTTTCATTGATTTCTTGAAAAGTGCTGGTCTACATGCCTGGTTTTCAACAAAAATGATTCGAATAAGTTTAGATGTGAACCAATAGTGTTGGTCATGGAAGCTTAACCAGAACATAAAAATACACCAGAAAGATTAAGGTTTTTTTTTGAGTAATATTATTTAAACCTAAAAATTTGATATAATTTGCTGACATAATAATGTGGTTTCAGCAGAGCCATTGGATTAACACAAAATTCCAATATTTGATGGCCCCACAGTCAATCCAAAGGTCATAATAAATTAGATCAACAAATTAAGTCAATAAATTAGGTCTCAATAACATTGCTCCTTTTTGTAGGGGGAAGGGGGGGGGGGGGGGCG